CCATACCCACTCTGATGGCCTTCAGGAAAGACGTAAAAACTTGGCTGTTCTGGCAGGCCTGGGGCTGTTGACCTCACTGTTGAGGTCCGGCCCCGACTAGAATGAATGTACGAGGGATGTCTGTTGTTTTAAATTGTTTTGTCGTTATGTGTTTTTTATATTTCTTGTAAGCTGCCCGGAGTCCTTTGGGATTGGGCGGCATATAAAAACTCCAAATAAATAATAAAATAAATAAATAATAATCCAGCTGTTGCATTACATACATTATTTTTAACATCTTGAAAATTAATAGATGTGAGGTTATCATAATTACAGAATTAATTTTCCAGAAAAGCCATAAAAACATAATCTGTCAATGTAATACAAAATAAGAATTATTTTTTTACATTACAAATTTACATTATAAAAATTGTTAAACATGAGGCTTCCCCCTATCCTTATAATGTAACAAACTTTTAAATTGGATATGAATACAATGCCATAAGGATGATAATATTAAAAAAAAAACAGCAAGCCTGAAACATTTTATTGTTGCTATTTAATAATAGTACAAAGCCCAGACAAACTTTTGGTTGGATCTTTTGGATCTATAAATGCCTCACAAAAGAAGAAATGAAAATGAATTATGCTGAATTTTAGAAACTTCAAAAAAAAAATTGAAGTACTGGAAGTTGTGTATATTATTCCTTGTCCCAAAGATGCAATTGGACTTTCTGATTTTTCTTTAACACATTTTGCTTTCCATCCATGAAACTTCTGCATTATCCCTTGAGAACTGTTGTTATTTGTAAAAATGACAATTTCTGGACAATTTATGGCTGTGCTTTGATAGCCTCTGCAAACTATTTTCTTTTGCTTTGCATTTCTCTTTTGAATGGTACCAAGAGAACAGATTCTATTCTTGCAAGTCTATGGGAAAATCTTCACTCCCTCCCTCCCTGTCCTGCAGATTTTTTTGGCAACCTTTTTGGGGAAGTGGTTGGCTCTTGGCTTCTTCCTAGGGCTGAGAAAGAGTTACAGTCCCCAAATGACCAAGAACATGTCTTAGGAAGGATTAAAACTCACAGTCTCTTTTGATTTTTGTCTGGTGCCCATAGCACTATGCCAAACTGACTCGTGACAAGCATAGCTCTGCATAGTAAAGAAAAAAACTTCTTCTTTTACAGCTACTTGGTCTTGAAGAAAAATATAAGCAACTGAAAGCTGCTATGGTTAAGTTAGAAAAGGAACTGGATGAATCTGAGACACAGTGTAAAGAAAAAGAATTGCAGCTTGTGTGCCAGAAGAAGAAAGAAAATGAATTGATAGTTGCAGTGCAAAGGTATGAGAATATAGTTGATCACCTTCTGGGTGTTGCTGCATATAAGGTATTTCCATCTAGTGGCATGCTGACTCAATTCTAGTGTGGTTGGTAGAAATAAACTTTAGTATGAATTGCTTTGCTATGTCACACAGAAGGCAGGGAAGCCACATTTGCAAAAGGTACTCAATGCATATGAATCCTTGTGATTTTAGGAAGGAAGGGGTGGAAAAACTCAGTCAAATGAATTATTTAATTCATTAGTTAAATGGTTATTAGTGATTGGCTTATGGTTTAAAGCTGCTTTTCCAACCTAGTGTCCTTTTAATGTTTTATAATATATCCTCCATCAATTACAGGAGGTGTGGCTAATCTGATATTAATTTTCAAGGTTCGTATAGCTGGCAAAACTTCAGTGTTCACACATAGTGGCTTAGTAATCATAAAAAAGATCACGCGTATAGAAAATGGTAAACTTTCACCCATTGATGAAAGGATCAAACCCAGGAAGGAGAATTGTTCTCAAATTTCTTCTCTAGGGAATAATGGCTGCTTTTCTCTATACAGATGACTGGAAGATTATTCCCTGTTTTGAATACAGCAAAGCAGTTCTTTATTTCAGCATAAATACTCAATTTATCTGTGTACAATAAAAGAAACATGCTTCTCTCTGTACAAGAAAAAAAAAGTTCCCTTCCTCTGCAGTGAAATGAGGCCTTTTTCTCTACAGAGAACAAAAAACTCCTAAGAGTGATAAATCTAGAAAAAAAAAAAGGGTTCCCCCCCCCCTCTATTGGTCAAGACTTCATGGGACATGATTCTCCTCGATGAAGCTCCACCCACTTCATTTACCTAGTGTGCTGATGATGTTGGAGGGACAGTTTGGCTCTTGGCATTTCTGCCTAACATCTTAAAAGTTAGCAGAAAATATTAGGAAGAATCTGAAAAATGCCACGGAAGTCATCAAGAATTTCTTCTAATTTCCCTTCTATACATAATCTCTACAGATGATAAAGTCAGCCTGGAAAGTTGTATATTTATGCTGCTGTTTCCTGAAAGAAACTCACAGGATCCAAAAGATTAGCAATTTTAACTTCTGGCAACAAAACTAACAATATGTGAATCTTTAAAGGCTGGCAGAATTTTTGTGAACTGCCAGGTTTGGTGGTATCATTTCAATGCCATTTGGAAACAATTGCAAGTGGATCTTAAAATAAGGCAATTGGAATCCCTTGTTTTATAAGGTTTTTTGAAAAACTGTTACAGAAATTAAAAGAAAAAAATGATAATTCTTTAGTATAGATAGTAACAAAAAGTTATCTTAGTATTTCATTTTGAATATCCTAAAGTATGGGCCACTTGAGTTCATGACCGTGTGTTCCTAAAAGATAGGTACAACAAACAAACAGCTTGTTCAGATGATGAAAGGTTAGATATTTAAGGATGGTTAGCCAAATCTCTGAGTGCATTGTTTCCATCTTACATTTGGTACCTCTGGTGTTTGTGAGAGTATAATCCACCGTGCTGGCTTTGTGTTCTCCTGAAAGTCTATACATATTTGAAGCAGTGTCTTGTTTCTATTTTAAAACACATTTTTCATTGTGATAATATTTTTATCTTTGAAACATGATAATAAGTAAAAGTTAGATGCTTACCTGTTCTGGAACATTTGTATGTCATAGGGATATTACATGGACAAGGCTTTTTTTGGAGGGTGGGGGAATAATATTTAACCGATACAGGAAACTGTGTTATCCATTTCATTTTTCTTGTCTTTGAATCAAAACGCTTTCTTTGACTTGTCTGCTTGTTTTGCTTACTAAAATGTAAACTACAGCTTGCAACAGAAAGTAGAAAAATGCCTGGAAGATGGGGTCCGTCTTCCTATGTTAGATGCAAAACAGCTTCAGAGTGAAAATGAAAGCCTCAAAGAAAAAAATGAGGAGGCTAATAAGGTCAGTACATTAAATGGTTGTCTAAATAGCAAGGTGATTCAGTTTTCATCCATATTGCTCTCATATTAGTTTTTCCTCTCTGTTACCATTAACAAGAAAAGAAGTACCAGCAAGTGCTGTGACTCAGGATTTCTGTATGTCCAGATAGAGAAACAGAGATTGAGAATGGAGGCAAACCAATGCAAGCCTCCAGTTACTGACTTGCTGCTGTTAGCATTATGTATTTATGTAATATTGAATGGAAGATATTTTATTCCAACATTACTATCTAAATATTTATAGATATAGTTTCCTAAGAACTTAAGAATATCTCAGTGGGATCAAGCCAGTTCTCATCTTCATCCAGCATTCCGTCCATGAATAAAATTGCCCACGGATTCCACTCTCTGCCTTCTGGCTTTAACTGGTTAGCAATTCATAATGTGTAGGTCCTTCTTCTCCCGTGACCACTGGGAAAATTTCCTGAAAAGCTGTTGAAGAGGAATTTTGTAGGAGATTTCTTAAAGGTCAGGAATGGCGGCAAAGTAACCAACATGACTATTAGTATTCTCAAAAGCTCCGGGTGGTTGGATGCCTCGTGAAATCCATGCTGATTTTATTCAGCAACAGTCTTTAGTTGTTCTTTTCTGATTGTCATTTCTACAATTTTTCCAGTTGCATATATTACTGGAACTCCCCTGGGTCCCTTTTTAAAGGCTCGCATCACTTTCATCCCATCCTCCTGTAAGTGCCCTTCAGAATATTAACACTTCTAAGCTCCCCATCAGTCTCGCTGTGTTGTTAATTCCAAACCTGATGTTGCAATATCTTTTAGAAGTGTGTGTCCTTCAAAAAGATAAAGGAAACCAGAAACATAAATAAGAATGTTATTACCTTCTTTTCCTCAACAGGTCATAGACAATCAACAAAATCAGATCACCGAGATATCTTTAGAGATACAGGTAATGCAATGTGATTTTTTCACAGTTTCATGTTTACCGTCTGTATCAGAAGAAATCATTTTCATCATAAAAGAAAGCTGTGAATGCATTTCATAAACTAGCATTACTTTTGTTACTAATATTTAATCATTTATATAGCTTCAGTCATTTAGCTTTCTATTTATTCATAAGCTGCTTTGAAATATCTAGAACTGAAAGTCTAAAAATAAATCATACAAAGGAATATATGCTATAACCTGGCTATCTTGAATAGAAAAGGGAAACCTTATCCTTACAGACCAGTTATTTCCCCCATCAGCAGGACTTCTGTTGTGTCAGTGAAGTGAGGCTGGAATTTATTGACTAATGTTGGCATGCACCTGGCTGCTGATTTATGACAAGCTGACTTGCCTAGAATGCCTTATGATATTGGGGATAGAGTTTTTGCTGGAAGAGGGCAGGAAGACAGTTGCCAGTTTTACTCTGTTCATTTTCAGTAGTAAAAACCTCCCACATAAGAGCAAACAATACAGTTATAACTGATACCTTAACAGTATATCTTTGCTGGTATTTCCACATTAGTTTCCCCACAATTTTCTCTGCCTTTTCATCTCTTTAGCTTGCCTTGTACAAAAATATGTTAGTTTGTTCTTTAAAAAGAAACAAGAAAATAAAACCGAGTAGGTTTTTTAAAAAAGAAAATACTTAGCAGACATCTTTGGGTATATTCACAAACAGGAAAAATAACTCTGATCATAAAAGTGCTTTTATCTGGTAGAAAGGGTTTGTGAGAATTGATCATTTTTGATTGTGAGAAATTGTTTACTTGCTGTCAAAAAATTGGACTACTTAGCTTATTAACAGTGGTCATATATTATATAAAAGGAAAAGTGATTACAACTTACCTAGTACCAGTGGATTTTTTTTAACTGATCAAATGTTACATGAATAGAATCGTCATGCAGAAGCGTCATGAATTTATGAAGATGGTATTGAAATGGTTGAAATGGATGACATTTATGCAAATTGAAGACACAGGTTATTGCTCTTTTGCCACTAAAACCTGAGTATTGGTTGACATGTTGATAATAGTAATATAAGAGACTTTGAGATTTTAAATTATTTTAATAAGATTTTATACAGTTTGAATAGGATTTCTAGCTCTATATATCATAATATTAAGCAGAAAATTAGCCTTCCATAGCTCTTGCTACATCGAACTTCTTGTATATTCCCATTGTCATTTCTTTCATTTTTAGATCCATATTATGTTTTAACAGAATTGTGACCTGAATGAAGTTTGATAACAAAGATATATGTTTAACTGGAGTTAATTTTAAACTCCAGTTAGCTTTATTTAACTGGAAACTGTAGTTATAATCCACAACATAGTGCTGAAATTCTCTCACAGCAGAAACGTATGAATCCAGTGCCTATTCTTCTCCAGAGGATAAGTGTTTATGAAGAATAGGGTCAGCTGAATATAAATTAGTTTGGAATATTTTTCAGATTGGTTATTACTGAGATGTGTGTACTCAACAGAATTCACAACCAGCATTATATTTTTTTTTATCATTCTGGGGTTGATGTTTACAGGAGTTTGGCATCTAGAAACTGCCAAGTTGGGAAAGGGTGACTTAGAGCAAATAAAGCAAACGGCGGTTTGAAACAAATGTAAAGTGTTGTCCTGGAATACCAGTAGAAATGCTAATAACATTGAGATCTTGATGTGGTTGTCTTGCTGATCAACTCATAGATGTGTGTTTCTGTTTTGAATGTGATGGTGTTTGGCATGCTAATTATTTTTATAGCTTTCCTTGTTTTTCTGTAGTCCTTCCAGAATCACTCCTTGTGAGATGGGTGGCCATATAACTTTGATAAATAAATAAATTAGGAACTAGATTTTATATCTAACTCCATATATAGCAAGATGGCAGGAAGGACGGTCCTTGTGAAAAGAACTATGAAGAAAGAAAAAAGGAAGGAAGGAACATTTTATAGGAGGCAGATATCTTTCATTTTTCTTTCTCTTTTTGAGTTTTGAAAGCTGGACTGTTGAGATTCCCACCAGTTCAAACTCTGCCTTGTTGCAGGGCACTATGCAGGGATGGAAAAAAATGTTGGCTGTACTTGACAATCCCTGTGCAATCCAGGCTATTTGTTGTTCAGCTGTGAGAGAATGATAAGCAATTCATACATAGTAAAGGGGAGAGGAACAAGGATGGATGCCAAAAATGTGATGCTTTCAAAGCCAGAAAAGATCTTTGATATGAAATAGCTATGGACATGGTGTTTGGGCTTCTGTCCCGAAGTATTCAGTAGTGTGAGGCTTTATGAAGTCTTTACTAAAGGAAGACAAAGCATTAAAAAATCTACTTAATGATTATTTATATGAAATTCATACTGGTTATTGTTAAACAATAGAAAGTTTGGAACAGAGTTTGTTGACCAGCAATTTTAGTTGCAGTACAGTAGAATTCTGTTTTAAATTCCTAGTCATTATATTTTGCAACTAATTTTATCCTTTTTCAGACGTACAGTCTGAACAGATGAGGATCTTTCCCCCAAATCCAGTAATCATATTTTTCAGAGATGATAGTAATGCACAGGGAAAAGGGTCAGCTCTGTTCAACAAGGCTGTTGCAAATTTATATTAAGGCAACATTCCAGGTGCAAAGGAATTTAGCTTTCTTTCATTCACAGTACAGCTGGACCTTCTTATCTACAGTTCTGTGTATCTATAGTTGATAAATGAAACGGATAAATCTTGTTTCTCCATGGCCAGTTCCAACTGCTGACAGGTGGATAGAGGTCCAGTCCAAAGCTCTCTATGTTCTCGCCTCTGCAGTTTTAACATCTATATGGAATTGCTAGCTGAGGTCATCCGTCAACATGGTTTCAGGTATCATCAGTATGTTGATGACATGCAGTGTACATTTTGACCTCTGGTCAACCAAGTGATGCCATAAAGTCTTGTTCCAATGATTGGAAGGGTTTCAGGTCCAGATGCATATGATCAGGCTTAAAGTGACAAGACTTACTAGATATGGGTACTGATTTTTCCACTGCTGGTGATTCTCCATATTTGGTTCTGAATGGACTAGTTCCTTAACAAAACTGGTGCACAATTCGGGAATCCTCCTTTATCCAGTACTCCTGCTGAAAAAGCAGATGGCATCTCTGATCAGAATGTCCTTTATACAGCTCCACCTGTTTCACTAATTGCACTCTTTCCAGGACTGGAAGTCCCTTTTCAAGGTCACTTATGTGTTGATTATTCAGTGCACTCCATATGGGACTACCATTGAAACCCAACCAGAAGCTAAAGCTGGGTCAGAATATAACAACAGGAGCAGTTATGAGTATGTCTATGTAATAACTCTGTTATTTGAGCCAAAATTACTTTTAGTGAGTTTTCGCATGCAACTTGAGGGTGCTGGTTATCGCTTACAAAGCCCTTCATGATATAGGGTGGTGATGGAAAACCTATGGTACACATGTCAGAGGTGGCATGCAGAGCCCTCTCTGTGGGCATGTGCATCATTGCCAGCTGGTCTTCATGGGTGATGGAGCGCTAGAAAACAGCCAGAAAAATGTGCAAAAAACAGGCTGATTTTCATATTGTTTTCTGGGCCATTTTCAGGTTGTTTTTTGGGCCACAAATGGCCTGAAAATGGCTCAAAAAGTGGCCAAAACCAACCAAAAAACAGGCATACATGTGCCGGCTAGCTAGTCTTTGGGTTTTTGGCACGCATACACATGCATGTATGTACATTACGGTTTGGGGACTTGTTGCTGAAAAGATTTGTCATCACTGATATAGGAGACATTCTGGCTCTTGTAATGACTGTCCAATCTACTCTATCCAGTTGGCACACACTGAATCTCTTATATTAAACAATGTCATTTGATAGGACATAGGAAGTATACCTTCTCTGTTATGGTGCCTGGAATAACATCCTACCAGAGGACTGGACTGTCCTTAACCTCAAGTCTTTAAACAATGTCTGAAAACCTGAATTTTTGTCCTGAAGCTCTGGCATAGGCCTGGCCATCTGAGATGCAGTGTCTGTTTCAATTTCAACCATGTCAGTTTCTATAAAAGAATTTAAAGCTATTCAAGAGCTCCTAAAGATGGACATGGACAAGGAGTTATAACATCTAGAGATTGAAGTAATGGTGAGGGGAAAAACATAACCTTTTCTTGAGCTTCTTTAGGATAAGGTGTGATAAATAAAAGGCTGGAAAAGCTTATGATTCAGGTAGGCTAGGTTACTAAAAGGTACCAGTTTCCAAAAGTTTCCAGCTATGCTATTTTATTGTTGTAAGGGGTAACAGAATCTTAAACGTTAGCACATGTTTTGACACATTATCTCTGTTTTTAATGTGTACAGTTCCCACTATTGAGTTGGGCAAACTTTTATATGTAAACAAATAAAATCAGTTACTCAGTCCAGAATTTATTATTTGTGGTGAGCAACTTTGTATATGTATAGTTGTTTTTTGCATGGCTCTGATCCGTTGTTCAGACCTAGGCTTCCTTATACAGTAAAAGGCATACACTTAGTCCCAAAAACCCTGTTTTTATTTCAAAGGCTGTGAATTATGTTCATTCACAGCCTGTAATGAGTCCCAAATAGTTGTAAAGAGTCCTACAGTAGGCTGCCAAAGTCTTTTCATCTCTTTAGCTTGCCTTGTACAAAAATATGTTAGTTTGTTCTGTAAAAAGAACAAAAGGATAAGGCTGATAAACACCCACCTTTATCTTCCTTGAAACACTGCCAAAGACTTAATTGGCAATTAGCTTGGCAAGGCCATGCGGAACAAAGATAACGGAGCTTCAGAAGGTAAACTGACCAGCATGAACCAAGTTGCTTTCTGCAAAGGCTCACATGCTTTTGCTCCTCCTTTATGTCCTATGGGAGGGGCCAGTCACCTCCAAGCCTTATTCCTGAGTTGTCCCTTCTGCCTTAACTGTTCTTACCTTCTGGCAGCTCTGTGTATGCGTGCACTGGGAACAGGGGGAGCCTGTTCTTCTGCCTTGCTGAAAATGTTGCTCTGCAGAAAGACTTCAGAAAAACATATAGCCTGCAGCTCAGTCAGGCATTGAAGTACTGGATTATTGGATACTTTTATTTTTACCTTTTTTACATTGAAGGTTAGCCAAAAATTACACCAAAATCACTGAGGTGCCAATTTCTGATTTGCCCAGTACCTTAAGGCTTCCCCATCAGTGAACCATTTCATTAGACTAACTCATAATTACTTGGCAATAGCAAATTCAAAGAGTGATCCTCTTTGAGGATCTTTGATTATTCTCTGTGTTCTTTTTCTTAGAATGTTTTTATAGCTATAGTGTAATCAAATAAAAGGTTAGATTTTGGTGGCCAAAAGAAAACATCAGTAGACAAAAAAGAAGTGCCATGTTAGTTAGCAGAGAAACTCTGAAATGAATCATGGCGCAGTTGCTGAGTTCTGTTTGTTTTTCCTTCAAGAAGGAGAACCTAAGAAGGCATATTCTCCTCCTCCTTGTTGATGTTAAAGTTCATTATTGAGCAAAGGCTAAACCTCAATAGTCCCCATTCCTGCAGTAAAATTATTCAAGGGAAGAGAGAATCATAAGTGGCTTTTTCATTTATGCCGGTACACTGGAACTCGAGTATTTTCACTATTAATCACTAATCAACAAGGAAAACACCAAAATAAAATTGAAAAAAATGAACTATTGTTTTATTCATACAACATAAGTAAAGATAACTTTTCCATTTTCTCCCTAGTCTATGCAAGAAAAGATTTTAGAAGGAAATCTGACAATTCAGAAACAAAAAAATGAACTTGAAGAGAAGGATAAAAGTGTACAGCAGTTGAAGGAGGTACTTCTTGAAGTAAGTTTCTCAGATTACCCTCTGAATCAAATTTGCCTATCTTCCTTCTTTTTCATGTATTGTGAGTGAACTGAAATAATTTCCCATCTTGCAATTAAGTATGAGAGTTTTTTTTGAAAACATAAGTTCTTGACAAGAACCAGATACACTGATAAACATCTTACTGTAATTGGGAAGGTCTCTGATGGATCAATAGTTAGTGTGACAGATTGATTTGCTATTTGAAACAAACAAAATATTATGCCTAATATTGAACAATGTGGATATTTGTTCTATCAAAATATGTCAACATTTAATTCCACCACTCTGGCCTTCCATTTCCCCAGTTTTCTTATCAGATGCCAAGCATCTGATTCATGCCCCTGAATTCAGAATTTTCTTCAAAATAAAATATAAGCAAATTCATTTTCATAATGCCCATATTCAATTAGATTTTTTTTTCTGAAATAAGCTAAGTGAATGAAATAATTTTTGTACTTTTATTTTCTTGTTTTAATAAAGAACCAAAGATTTATGGAAGAAAATGCAAGTTTAAGAGAACAGATTCATCAGATGGAACAGTCCAGACGACCAGTAGCTGAAAAATTACCTGTGGCAAATCAGTTGTTCATAGAGATGTCTCACTGTCTGTTTGACTTGAAAGCACTTTGCAGTATTCTTACTCACAGAGCTCAGGGCAAAGAACCTAACCTGTCCTTGCTGCTTGGAATCCAATGTAAGTAATGCGGATAGAGATGCCTACTGTTCCTTTTGGAACTGAGTAGACCTGGGAAAGGAAAATCTAGGAATGTTAATAAGAGAGGAATAGGAGGCTCCAGATTGATGTACATTTCTCACTTAGGTAAAATACTAATAAATACAAGTCACCTAGAATCGGAAAAAAACAGATATACAGTATATATGAAAGACTTATTTTCCACATTGTAATTGAAAAATATTCAGTTATGTTTGAGAATTAAACTTAATCTTCTTATAATATTGGGCTCCCTGCAGCTTTTCCACAGCATAGTTTGTATGATCTTTGTGGTCTCCAAGCAGCCATGCAATAGGTTCCATTTGTATCTGAGGTTTTTTGTTTTGTTTAAAAACACATTTCAGCATGAAGTCATGCTGAAAATTGGTTCTTTGAAACAGACAGCCTGTGGTGCCACTGCTAGATTTTTTTAACCTCAGAGTATCATGCTCTCATTTTAATTCCCTTTAAAAAAGCCTAAGGAGCAAGAAGTTCTAGTAATTTCAGTTGAGTAAGTAGAGCATTCCAGTTTCCCCCCAAATGAACTTTATTTGGGCCTCATTTCTTTTTACTGGCTTATATCTCATCTGTTCTGGTGACTGCCTGAATATGAGGTATTATTGTCAATTTTTCTCAAGTTAACTTCTAATTCTGGCAGAAAATGAAAACAAATAATCCTCTACCAGAGAATACTGTTTGATCAAAATTGCTTCCCTAAAAACCCCTTCTATCCACATTCAATTTTTAGGAGGCAGAAAATATAAAGCCAAGAAAGTGACTTTCTTCTCCATAATATCTCTAATTTTAAAGTGATCATAACAATACACATTTTGTCAAGAAAGCGAAGCATTCACATATTCTTTCTCTAGCGCAGCAGAATTAGGTCATTAGGTCATGTATAATTGTATGTTTTGAACTGGTGAGTTGTTTAACTTCTAGCCCTGGTTCTTCTTTGACAGCAATGAACTGTTCCTCTGAAGATGAGAAGCACCATAGCACAGAAAGTCTCTCTAAGAAGCTCTCAGAGGTTTGTCAGTTACGGAAAGATATTGATGAACTGAGGACTATAATTTCAGACTGCTATGCTCAGGACATGGGAGAAAATTGCATTACACAGTGATGACATCTTGGCCTCACACTTACAACTAAGTTATTAAATGCTGCTCTGGTTTTAATTCCTCATGTTTCTGTTACAAACAATACTGGAAAGCAAATGCTGTGCCAGGTGAAAAGGCTTCATGCATAGTTCATGCAGATAATACACTCTTCTTTCAAAGAGATTTTGTGCTACAAGAAAAAAAATCCAATTTCTTTAAAACTACTGAATGTAGGTCAAAGCTGTGAATAATGTTCTTTTGAAAATGGTTTTTATTTCTTTTGTTACGCTGATAAAAGAAAAGACAGAGTTTTCTGGAGTAAAAACAGAAGAGGGCACTATAACAGTGGTTCAGCAAGCTTTAGGATAGAAGATCAGACCCGAGAATCTTCATGACAAAAGCAGTTGGATATGCTTGGTTATTTGAAGGTCAGATATTAGAACGGTGGATGAAGATACAGAGTCATAACAAAGATTTTTTTGAATCCAGGGAGTACTGATGGTTTGGGCCACACAAAAAAGAAAATATAGATAAAAATTATATGCTCTTTAAAGGTTGCATTCCCAGTTTGATTATTGTTTTATTCTGCAGTTCTTGTGTAATGCAAAGGGACAAAAAGATGAAAAAACATTCACATTTCAGAGAAGGAAGGGATTCAGCCTTAGAATTTAGTCACCAACTATTAAGCTCTTTTGCATTAATTAGGCTGGGCAAAAATGGTTTTGATAAAAGATTTTTAAAAAAAATCAAAAACATTTAAGTGTAATATCTTCATAACAATATATATTTACTCTTTGTTTGAAATTTCGGCAAAGTAGTATCCACTGAATGTGAATGTTTGAATTCCAGCACACAGAAAAATAGAAAGCCTTAAAGAAACCTGATTTCTTCTGGCGACCTGAAACAGCAGATTTTGATGAATAATTAATAGAGTTGCTTCAAAATTATATCACAACTGGCATAAAAACCTTATGTGAGAACAGAGTTCTTGACTATTCAGGCAAATATGCTTAAGTTCCTCTTATTGCCAGAAGAGGACTTGGATGAATTCAGCAGTGCCAGCCTTCATAGATGCAGTGTTAAAATGCCTGAATGAAAGGTATGCCACTTTGTAATCCAGGTTTATATATTTTGCTGTGTTAAAATTTATGTGCCGTTTGTCAAGACAAGCCTGATGTCACTTTATTATGACAATCTATTCTAAAATCTACAAAAAACACCACCTTTGAAAAAAGGAAACTAACTAAATACAGTGCATGATGCTCATAGATGCCATGAGGCTCATAACTTCAGTCTTGCCAAAAGTTGATGTTTAAAGAGCAAGAAATGGATTATTATTCTCAATTTCTTACATTAATATTTTTCCTTAAACAATTTTTAAACCATAATTTTATATTGATATTTTCACATTTTGTGTGATTCAAATTTACATTTTATTTGTATAGGATGCAGTTTTAAAAAAATGGTCTTTTTAAAGTTACATTTATTTTAATATGAGCTTATTCCTACTCTGATGACTATAGTATGTGTGGAAATCTATGTTAATATTGAACTTAACTGACGCTCAATCGTTTTAAAGTCACATCTATAAATATTACATAGAAGCAGCTAGCAAAGGATAAAGATCCTTAATCCTGCTGATTGATGTCTGAATTTAAAATATTAAGATTACAATCCGAAGAGTACTACTAGAAATAAAATTGAGCAGTACTTATAATTGTAACTTTAAATTCATATCTATGCAGATGAAGGGGTGAATGATCAGAACCTGATTCACTTTCTCACCAATTAATAATGAGTGAGTGCAAGCCTGACTTTCTTACTACACTGTGCTATTAAGAAGCACAAATGTCATTTTGTGATACTAAATGTTCTCATTTTATATTGTATTTGAGACTGTATCTTGCAAACAATTTGGAACTGCAGCATTATATTATTATTAAGAAAGAATCTTCCACAAAAAAAGATAAGAGCAGTTTGTGGAAGTAGATTTTTGACAAAAATTGTCAAGAAATTTCATTTTTGCATGGGCTGCAAATAATAGATTTTAATTAACTAGTTGGCTGGGTTGTTTAGTTTCTTTCCTTTAACAACCATCCTATTTCAGAGGTGGGTTCCTACCGGTTGAGGCCAGTTTAGCTGAACCAGTAGTAACTTGGCGCCTGGGTCACTGGAACCAGCAGTGACCCAAGCCTGTCACATCCCTGAACCGGTTCTCCCGATGGTGGCGCAGAGCAATTTTAGTAGTAATGCACGTGCAGCATGCGTCAAGTGCATGTTTGCAGCACGCCCCTGAGCGAACCGGCAGTAGCGGCCACCGGAACTCACCCCTTTCCTATTTGCCTACTTTATAACATCATGAGGTCATACCACCACTTTTACTTTGAATAGACAATCATATAGCACTCAAGGAAGAACTAATTTTTGAGAGATTATCCCAGATGCCTGATACTGTTGATCCATGCTAGATATTTGTTTAACTAATGTAGTTTAACAGTTTTAAACATATTCATACTCTATGCATGTTTATGAACCTTTTTTTTAAAAAAAAAGGTTTGACAAATTATTTTACAATTTGTATTTTTAAAAAGTTCATATTTTTGCTCTTGAAATAAGAATTGTGTCACAAGAAATGCCTCCTAATATGCTGTAGAGCAGTGTTTTTCAAAACTGGCAACTTCAACCTGGACTTCAGTTCCTAGAATTGTCCAGCTAGCATGCTGTCCACCTATCTTAAAGTTGCCAAGTTTAAAAAATACTTGTAATTAAGACTTTGGTGAAAATAAATGGGTAATTTGTTTAACAATAATATAATTATTTCAGTTTAATGTTTATATATGTATTATTGTAAATACATAGATAAAACTTCACTAATTTATTAAAAATAAGGTCACTGCTTTACAGCACTTTGGGGGATTTGCTTTAGTGTTCACCCATAGTGTTCACTCATATCCAGTGAAAATAACAAAGGTGTAGTATGCATTTCAGCTGCATTTCTATTGTCAACAACCCTCAGTGACTGCAATTCATTGGTCGAATAGAGGAGACTCTTAATGGGTGTGCGTTGATAAGGATCTTCAGTGTTTTAGAGAAGGCCTGAGGCTGTACATCTAGGGTGGACTCTACACTACCAGCAAACACAAAGTGTTGGGAATTAGGGCTATTAGTAGGACCCTCTTTTCTTCTTACCCATTCATTGGAACAACTAAAATGAGGTTGTGATTTCTGACATTTTGCCCAACCAAACTGGCCAATAAAATAAGTAGGCTGTGAATCACAAACCTATTCAAGAATTTGATAGAGACTGCTGAGTGGAAAGCATCAGGTATTTGTTCCTGCTTTAAACAAGAAGGCACCTAGATTTACCCTCAAATGCTAAATAGCAGGAAAAAGGCATCTGCAACTTCTTGTATGTAGTTTATGTAGTATATAGAAAGAGATTTGTTTCTCCAATAAAGGCTCCATATGTCCTGGTAATTAGTATAATGTGTCTTAGTGAAATGAAAACAGTCAAAGATGATAACCAAAGACAGAAGGACAAAATTAAATGAGCCATAAATGCACAGTATTATTTTATTAATAATAACTTAGCAGTTTTGGAATCTAAAGAACTTAGCTGTTTACAATGGCTATTTAGTAGCTTGAGTTCTGCATAAGAGATGCATGAGTTTTTTCACTGAATATGTGTGTGGCCTCATTCAACACATGTTATAAAAATGGTTAATTAACAATAGCTTTTTTAGAAAAAAAAATAGTTCACAATGATATTACTAAGTTGATTTAGTCATGACAACCTTTCCCCACAGATACAGGAGATCATTCAAAGAGCTGAAAAAGTATTACTAATAAATAAAATGTAGATAGGTTTGTCATAGATGAAAGCAAAAATTACATATTTCATATGTCAAGGTTGCATTTTTACAGATGTGCAGGTGGCATTCTATAGTAACTGCTATAATTTAAGAATGTATCCTAAAAAGGAATTTAGAAAGTTACTTTCATACCTGTCTGATGCAGTTATTTATATTTCATTTGTATGTACAGTATTCAAATTTAGTACTGTAGTATAAACTTAATTTGACTTGATTTTTTGTAAAGCAGGGTCAGTGATCCTATTTGGAAAATTTTCTTAGCTCTGACAGTAATGCCCAAATCAGTAATACTTCATCATTATATAAGGATAGAGTTAGGTGTTAAATATTTAAGTTTTTGGAATGTAAGTTATGAGCACAGTAGATCATTTTTAGTAGATTTGCCATAATCAGTCACCCTGGAAATAGATATTTTTTTAAAAAGTAATATAAATGAACCAAAATTATTTTTTAACTTTTTGATTACTCTACAAATTAGTTTTTTTAGTTATTTATTCCCATCTCACTCCCTTTTGGAAAAATTGTGAAAAGTTATTTCTTGTTAGAATCCAGAATGAGAAGAAAAGAAGAAAAGATAAATGCAAGATGAGGTGTGCATCAGTTTTACTCTGCCTAAAACTTAAACTGGGACTAAATTCATCTAACCCCCAAATTTAATTATTCAGCAATCTCTGTAAATCTCTGCATATATAAAAATAATTCTAAACATAAAAGAGATTTGACATCATATTCTAGATTTGGATTTCAAACAAAACTGAAGGCAAAGTTACTATTCTGTAAAAAGACAATGGATATTTAAAAAATTAGGTGAATTAGTCACTAAACCAATAGTCATTGGAGTATTATTTCCATCTCTTTGTAACTCTGTGCCTCTTATTTTTGTTCATGGCATAAAAGTAACATTTTAATAGCCATGAAAATATCAAAATTTGCACTTTGTTTCCTCTGATTTTTGAGACTTTTTAGCTTGTAAAGTGGGAGAAACTTTTCATAAATAGAAATATTTTTTATCTTTGAAACTTAATCTGGTCTATTTTCTACCAGCTTTTCTGTATATGGTGGAGAATATGCAGGAAATTCAGTCAGAATGTCCTTTTGTATATATTAGGTATATTAGGTTGTTAAGGCAGTGGCAAGGCAAGGGAAAAGAGGGCTCTCCTTCAAAGCACAGCAGACTTAAACTGGATCAGTTTTCTAACGCTGGTAGTTCTTCAATGTTGGGTTCAGTTTTTGAGACGCTCAGAATACCTCATGTGTACATAGAAGTTGTCATGACTTAAATCGAAATGCATTCAGTGTTGTTGCTGTTTTTAATTTTTTTATTTTTAAAGAGCCACTGGCTGGCTCATCTCTAGGCCTGTCATTCTTGCCTACCCTCTTTTTGTAACTTTTTTAAAAGTAGCATTTACAGCTAGAATTTTGAATGCCAAAGTTCTATTTATTAAATGATTAAAATTTTCATTGTTGATTATACTAGTATTTTTCCACTCAATCTGTTTGTTTGATGTTTGAATTTGTATCTGCGGAAGAAAAATAAATTTTGTTACAAAAGCTAGAAATTCTGTTTGTTTGTCTCTAATTTTAAACAATATGGTATTATTGGGGTAAATGTTGTGTTGTGGCCCAGCAGGTGCCCTTGGAGCTGCCACCAGACTCCAACAGCAAGGGACCCTCTGAGTTGGCTCTGGAGGATGTGGAGGACCCTGGACAGGGTTCTGACTACGAGCAGGGCGCAGAGAGGCTGCTTGGCCACCAGGAGGCACCTGAGCCTTGGACCAGTGGGGAGGAGACAAGGGAGAGTGAGCCAGAAGCCAGCAATGAGCTGTTCCTGGATGCATGCCATCGAAGAGCTACTAGGTGTCAGGAACAATTACGCAATTACAGGAGGTGATTGTACTCAGCTAGTGGTCATTAAGCTCCTCTCCAGAGTATAAAAAGCTACTTGTGGACTCTTTGCAGAAGTCAACGCAGGATTGAATTTTGGAGGACAGTACTGGGAGCTTGGCAGGCTGGATTGCTGCCAAGCCTTATCTGTGTTTATTGCTGCCTGAGTTTGTCTGAGTTGCTGCCAAGGTCCTTATCTGTTTGTTTTGCTTGGCTTTCAGCCACCGAGGTTTTGGTGTCTTGCTATTAAAGTACATTTTAGTTAAGCTTGTCTCGGCATTCGTTACTGGACGGAGGAGGGGGTCAGAACAATGTTGTATATGATCTCTCCTGATAGCACAAAATAATATTGTCAATGAATGGAAATGAAATACAGTCAGGTAGCATACAAATGTAATTATTTTTTATCTGTTCACAATAATGTGAAGTTGCAGTTGTCAGTTCTTTACCCTGTGTTGGCCTTCATATTCACTGAGTTTTCGCCAAGTACCTAGGATGTTGCAATGTATCAGCATAGTATATGTGTAGATCCAAGCAGTATGTCCTTTTGCCTTTATTATTATTAAATAGAGCTGCTTGCTAGAAGTTATCCAGCAAGAAATACTGGGTCCTCTGTGAATTGGACCATGGATCAAAATAGATTCATATTGCAGTTACCTCATTAGAGAATACTTGATATAACTAGCTAAGAAAGACATAAATTCCCTTGCATTTGCTCAACTTTGGAACATAGAATGGAGGCAGTACTGGAGTCATACTTGTCTACAATCTTTGATGGAATCACTATGGTGTTGTTGCATCCTTTTCTAGTACTACTTGATCCCTCAGCAGCTTTTCATACTGTTCACCACAGTATCTTCGTGGGGGGTTTATAACAATTCAGCATGGCCAACTCACCAAGGCCAACATGCCACAGGATAACTCACAGCAGGACAAGAGTTACACTAATATCAAAGAAATGGTGGAACAGAATCATTAAAGAAAGGATGCACAAGAAGGGGCAGAATGAAATATGAATGGCAAAAATTAAAATAATATTTATTTATTTAAAATAATAGACTTGTTAAATTGTCCCACAATGAGTTGACCAGCAGTGAGTTGGCCATGGCAGGTTGTCCTGCGCCAAGTTGCCCATGGTGAGTTGGCTGCAGTGAGTTGGTGGTGGAAAGTTTGCTGCAGCGATTTTGCCGCAGCGAGTTGGCTATGGCAAGTTGTCCCAGTCCCTCTTCATGGACTGTCTGCAGGGTTTAGAGGTGGGGACTGTTGTAATGATTTGCCCCCTTCCAGTTGGTGTTGAGATGGAGGCTGTTTGGATCTGGATGAGGAGGAACAGGTTTTGGCTCAATCCTCATTGTCTATGGCTTTTACTCCCTCCCCCCCCCCACCCCCAGGTTAGAGGCATTTTCAATGTTTTGAGTGGGATTGCACTTCCTCTTTAAATTGGCACCTGTGAGCCCTCCTGGACTCTATGACAACCTTGATGCAGGTTCATCAAGAACACCAATTGCACTCTTCCTCAACCAGGAGGCCCTTCAGATGGTTAATTGTGTCACAGTCACCTTGTGACTAGACTATCCAGTGAACTCTGTTTGGGACTGTCCTTGAAGACCACTAGAAAGCTTCAACTGGCCCAAAATGCTGCAGCACAGGGAGTAGCAGGCACAATGTTGTTAATGCTCATGTGTCATAAGTGCTACACTGCTCATTTCAAATACACTCTTGACAGTTCACAGCAATTAGAATTACATTTCTTTAAAAAAAACAAAAACAGTGTAAAAAGCCCTACAACAACAGCTTTATACATAACTCAGTTTCACTGTTTCTAGAGGCCGAAAAAGATGCTTCTGAAAAATAAATGCAAAGTATGCATTTCTATTCAATACCGTTTTACTTTAGTAACTTTAACTACTAGATTGTTAGAGTGCATCTCATGGAACCGAATTGCTTAGTCTGTATGAAAAACAAACCAATCAAAGGTATTATTGGCAAATAGAACAAGAACCTCCGCAATGAAAGAATAAAAGAAAAAACTGAGAATTAAATTAAATCTATTACTCAGAGCTCTAAAATGCTTCGACTTTTGACACTTCCAAATGTAGGGTATTTTTTGTATGCAATCCCTCTGTCTCATTAGCCAAATTTAAACTAGGGATGTCAAACTTGCATTGTCACAGCAGCGTCACGTGACGTATCAAGACTTTTCCACTCGTTAAAACTGGGAGTGGGCGTGGTCAGCGCGTGACGCATCTGACCTACAGCCCACGAGATTGACAGTCCTGATTTAAACAGTTTAATAGAGTGTTAATTGTAACCTCTGCACATTTAAAAATATCTTAGTTGCTTCTATATTAAAATTGTTCAAAGAAATTTACAGTTCTGAATGATTAATGATAAAATAAAGAATTTTATCAAGAATAAAATAAATTGCACAACCAGAGAAGGAAACATATCCCCTGAAACAATAACACTGTCCATTTAAAAAAAGCCATTGAAAAAGTAAAAATCAACTGAATTTTGAAGCAATAGTTTTCAAATATATAGCACCATGGTGAAAGATATACCGTCACCTTTTATACAATTCTGAAAATTCTTGCTTTCAGGGTTTTTTTTTTTCAGAATGGAAAAGTAATATGTGAGAATAGAATAAATTAAATCTCTACTTCTGTCAGTCATAACTTTAAAAAGATGGTTTTGAGTGTCAATTTTAAATTTCCTTTGAGTGTCATATTGTGTGTTTTGATAGGGTAAAAGATTTTTTTTTGTACTATGCTAAACTTAACTGCCAGTAAATTTAGTTATTGGAAATCCTCAAATTCCAACAATGAAACTAGACAGGACATTAAATACATGCTTGCAATCTGCTTTCTAGCTTTTCAAAGATAGCAAGCAATCACTGATTAAGAATGATAAAAGCTGCTGCTGATGAGAATTTCAGTCTCATCCACTATTGGCCTGGTTCTAATAAAAATTGCATCTACAAGTAAAGCTACAATAGATTATAGTTTTTTTTGTTAAAGTCATCTTGATGCAAGCAAAAACTTCAAAAGAAGGGTAGTAATGGAAGCAATGTTCCATCTTAAAAAATTTTCAGTGTGTGCAGAAAAGTAGTGTTTGAGCGGCACATTTTCATGCCTGAGGAACTGAATTTTTTTCATAACAACGTTTATTCCAGTCTTATCATTAGCTTTAAGTTTCGACATCAGTTCTGTCCACATCCTGAATGCCAATTAAGGAAAGGTGTTGTTATATTATTTATTTCTGTGCTCATTTAGATCTGTCTGTAGATCTACCCCATCTAATTTATCTCTCAGCCTATGATATAAACCTAACTACAGAATTATAAATGTCTTCATTACTAATATAACTGTTCTCCACCTTGATTAAACAGATGGTATCTGTTATAATTTGCTGTATGTGGACTGCTTGGTTCAAATCCCACTTTTACATTTCTGGAGGAAGACATGCTAAGCTAGTTACTTGTCATAATCAGCCTGGGTAACTAGGGTTCATAAAGTTCATTGTAAGGCAGGTGCCACTTTGGGGGGGGGGGAGTAGGTTAAAAAGTCCCCAGTAGAAAGTCAACCAAGAGTCCGTACTTCTGTAGGGGGGAGAAATTCCAGAATTGGGGCAGGACAAGGAAGACAAATGAATGAGTCAACAGAAGGAACTGGACATTCAGAGGGAAGGACGGAGAATAGATTCCATCTTGAAAATGATATCAATAGATGAAAGATAGATGAGACACAGACAGACTAACAACATAGTTAATAGAGATGAGAGATGGACGGATGGACAAGTAG